ATAATACTATATTTAATATATACTTTTTATAATTGATGTATGGTTGAGAAAGTTGTTTTTGTGTGGGATGAACTATTTTTTTGATTTAATCTGAAATGTTTTATTTTATGTGAATGAAATACAAGGTGATAAAAACAAAAGAACAAAAACTTTGTGGGTAAATACCTTCATCCGCACGGAAGTTTTGTGTTTCAAATTTGTACCCAGCATTTGGAAGTCAAAAGGAATTTGTGTGACATTCATTTTGAATAATTCCACACAATAGTTTTGCTCTACATAGCGCGTAAAAACCAACCCTTTCTCAGCAGCTGCTGTGTCCCCATTTTTGTAGCATGACGCACTAGTTCGCATTTTGGCCTACCAGTAAAGGCCCCAACGATCGTGCCATATTGCAAGCTACAGCAGTCTAACAGGCCAACATAAGTTTGCAGGGAGTTTTTTTCTCAAGTTCCCTTTGCCTGCTGAGATCGTGGTTAAAATTAGTAACGAGCACAGAGCTTTTTGTATTTAACATTTCCTCACCGCCAACTCATTTCATAAGTTTGGCACAAGGTACGGTGACAATGTTGAAGTCCCCTTAATGTCTTCTTTGATGTCAAAGGTTGAAATGATCCCTCAGTTAGGTCCTGTAGAGAATCAGGACAAAAAATTCCAAGACAAAAAAACCACTTCAATTCAAATACACATCGTTTGCTCCCCTTTAGACGTCACCAGGGAGCAGAATTCGAAAGACGAGCCCCATGGGAGTCTGTCCGTAGACAATGTCTGCAGCAAAAACTTTCTTACATCCCAACGGTCCACATTGTCAAGGTAGATATTCATCTACGTCCGTTCCATTTTCCTGTTCACGAAGCTGGCATGAATCAGAGTATAGCAATGTGGATATGTTTTCTCGATCGTCTTGAAAAGTGAATATTCCTCTATGACATCCCTAGCAAAAGCCTATATTCACATTTCAGGATCATATTATTACGTTAACTCTACGAATGCCTATTTGGGAAACCTCACCCGCCACACTAGTATCTCTAAAAGTAATTCCATACTGTAAGTAAGGTGTACAGTGTGTGTAGCTTTGAGTACTCATAGTTGGGTGGATCTTTGTGTTTGGCCACCACTGAACATTAGGAACAACGGGTTAAAATGTGACGAGTCCTTACCAGGACAAACAGAGCACTTACTTTACTTTACTGTATCCGTCCTCATGTACCTCTTGGGCGTCGAGAGGAAAAAGAGCTTCCTGTCTCTAGCAAGTTTGATGGCCTGGCTTGGTGGGATATTGAATGTTCTCAGGGTATCCTTCACATCCTGGATCCAGGTCTGTCTTGGTTTTCCTCTTGCTTTGTACCCTGACACTTTCCTGTAGTAGAGCACTAATTCTTTGAATTCCATAAAGTTGTTTTTTTCTAAAACTCTAACAAAGAAAAGAAATGTTATTGTTTCAATGTTACAGGGATGGAAAAATCCGATTTTTAAAAGAAAAAGAAGTGGGGGG